ACAAAGATAGTCATAAACTGTTTCACATATTAAGTCAACATCCATTGCAATGATTTATAAACGCTATATGCCAAACCAATAATAGTTTACTGAAATGTAATTGGTCCTTTTCCGTGAAAAAATAAGCCGTTTACTTCAGGTACGCATTCAATCATTCTTAAAATGTGATTGTTCCTAAAGCCGTAGAGGCTTTCGCGGAATATAAAATGCATATATGTAATCTGTTCTCTATCACATTGTTACAAAAGATCAACATATTATACATGTTATAGTTAAGGACACGATGAATTCTCAGAAGAAGCATTTTGGACTTAATGTCAAGGTTCCTCTCCTATCATAATATGAGCGTTAGAGTAACGGGTTAGCCTGCGGTTTATTTTAAAGTTTCAGCTTTAGGTGACGTCAGCTTCGTAGATTGTTGGACGATACAGTTTTATCACCGACGGACGTCATATTACCTTAAAACGACAACGCGTATCATTTCGCAAAATGCATAATGCAGAAACAAACCTTTTCGACCGAGCAATTTCTTTGATGCGGCTAAGCAGTATTGCATATCACAGTCAGAATCCTTGGCTAACCAACCGTTTTGGATTATGTTGTACGAAAAACTATATTACACATACACCAATATATCTTTTTCTAATTAAGGACTCATTTCAAAGTTTGCATTAGCGCTTCGCGTTATATGTTATATATTCCTACCGCAATGCCAACATCCTCGAGACCCATATTTTTCCCATTTTTTAGTCACAAGAGGAACCCTCTACGAAGGTGTTGCTGCGCCTTATACAACTTATTCCTTTTTTGATTGCATCTATAATATCCTCGACGTCGACTACGTTTGTTTTCGACAGCGAGCAGTTCGCTAACTGGGTCATGAAAAACTTTTTAATTGCTGCGGATGCGTTTGACATTTTGGACTCTGTCGAAAAGGTGCATGGCGCCTGGTGGGACATTGCACATGTGTACCTATACATCTGGATTGGCAGTCTTCACTGCCTTTTCTTCAGCAATCTCTCCAAAGAGGACAACACTGTGTCTTTTGAATCGGAGGAGTCATCGGAAGAGTCATCAACATCTACTAATTCCGAACAGGAATCTGACTCTACGTCGACCTCCTCAGAATCTTCAGGTTCTACGGAAGAATCGGAGTCGAGCTCTTCTTCCGATTCGTCGGATAATTCCTTTCCGAATACTGTGGTTCGCCAAACAAATCAAAGCGCAGAGGACCTCGCTTGCTCCTCTTCAATCATTAATCGGCTCAAATGTGTTGTTTTTGACGTTAAAGTGTGGGCACTTATAGCCCCTATCATGGTGCAGGATGTTTATTTTCTCTGCTGGAGGTGCTATCTTATGCGCCAGGGTTATTCAGGGGAGATTACAATTATATGCTTCATTACAAAAAATTTACTTTCGATTTTGTTCCACATTTTCTTGGTCTGGGCCCACCTACGAGAACAGTCTGATGAACCATCGTTTTCTTCGCAAACTAACCATTCTCACCCTCACTCAAATGCTTAAATTACACCCATCATGTCTCCGCATCCAACAGAACTGTTTCTTATCATGAGATAATTTGCATATTCTGTCACAGATAGAGAAAGTGGCTTTCGCTTTCCGTTTCCATTTACTTTTGCCACTGCTCTTACTTGTCTGTGGTGTTATATGCATGGCAAACTTATTGTATAGGCGTCAATGTTAGTTTGAATGCTGTGAATAAAGAACGCATATATATTATGTTTAATATCCATGTCTTGAATTACTTCTAGATGTCATCTGCGTATTTGGTATTCGCTTTCTGCTAAATAGCTGTATTCTGGACGAGTCACCTATACTGGCAATGACTGTCATAGAATCTAATTTAGTAAATAGAACTTATCTTTATTTCTGCCATTTTTATAAGTAGGTCACTGGGTGGAATGTTTGGGTTGATTGCAG